AGATCGCAACAACAGCCGATTTTGGGTGGCACAGTTATCTGTCACTGCCACCTCCTGTAACCGCTGTTACACGAAACGAGAAAAAATTTATCCAGGATCGAACGAGATCTGAACTTAGACCCTGTCCTCTGTGTAGCAGCCCGTGGCAAAATATTGGAATAACGACGAGGCACCACACAACGCGAATTTCGTAACAAGTGGGTCACTAAAAGCTTCCGACCGATCACATAGGGCTCGGCCATATTTCTCCATCGTCGTCAGCCACAGGATTAACAAAGCACACATGATGCCTTACAGATGTGTAGTGATTACCTTGCTTCTTAATAGCGTAGTCGGTGCTTCCATACGTCACAAAAATTATGATGTACGGCGTAATGAGTGCCATGCAAGTTTACTAGTACTAGTAGTTGCCAAAGAGAATTTACAATGGGCTCTAGAAGGACCGTTCTGTTCTTTCAGCTTTCATTCTGACTGCTGTGTGTTCCCCCTAGGGCTGGCACTTTTGGTATGAACAAGCAGAATGTGTGTAAATAAGTTGAATCTCATTATACCGAACACTGATGTAGCGAATTATCAATTATGGCAGATTAAGTAAGAACTTTGGTTCGTCACGCTTCATTTTAGTGGCGTTTTTTTTTTTGATAATGAAACTGAAAACATGAGAGCCACAACGATATCAGCTGTAACGAAGAAATACTCATTTGGCACAAGGCTGAAAACTTGAAAGGTGGCGTGAAAAGCAGTAAATAGTGAAAGACAATCCACAACCAGATTTTTTTTAAAGTGGGGTTGTGACGGTATAAATTTGGTTAAGGCATCACTCGAAAAGTTGCACAAGCCTTGGTCATATGGTGAAAAAGAAAAAAAAAAACTGCCAGGCCTGTGTTAAATGCGCAGCACAGTCGCATCGAAACCTGGAGGAGTGGCCTTTCTCGAGCCTTTTTTAAACACTCTTTAGGTGACTGCTACAAGCACGCTTGCAGGATACCAGTGCGCTGTAAACCATCACCATTTTATGTAGTTGTGAGGCACTCGCTTCTTCTTCTTCTTCTCATCTCATGTCTCTTACTCAATGCAGGGGATTGGCCAAGTGTTTGGTGAATTTGTTTTTTTGTTTCTTCGCAATTCTACTTGTATATGCTAGAGATAGGTTTCACAACAAATAATTACTGAATAATAATATTTAAATGCTCAAAAGAATGAAGAATGTAGCTGTATACTCTTTTAGTCTGACTGATGAATTCCTCTATTGCGTAGTAAACAATCCCTGTGACTGTAGCCCAGAGTAGAGGCACAGAATGATAGAACAACTGATTCAGACATTTCCAGACCCAAGTTTCGAAGAGGTGGTGCTGTGAATCTTCTTCTCAATGACGTATAGCGGTGACAGGATAGAGATAGAGAGTAATGACTGATTGTTTCTTCCTCCTTACAGAAGATACACAGAGGAGACAACGCTTAAAATGCTCTATGCAGGTAAAAGTTAAGGGAGGTAACCCGGCAGTGAAGTTTGGTTATGGCCACTTCCATTATTCTCGACCGCGATTCACTTTTCCAGGGAAATAATAGGTGCTTATACTCTGGAGAAGCTGTCAAGACGGGAACTGATAAGCATTTTTCGAAAGTTAAGGTTCAGAATCGTGCCTTTGTAGTGTATGTTGTCTGTGGGAAAACTGAAATGATTGTCATCAAAAGCGCCGACTTTGCTAAACAATCATTGAATTCGTTAAAAAGCAAACCCTTGTGTCCTGGTACCCAAATTAAGTGGAGACATTATACCATCGTTCGTCATTTTTCAGAGAAGTGTGGTACCTACTACTCAATAGGTGACCAGTGAAAGTGTGAGGGATTGTGGGATGCGTCGTCTGCTGCCGGCTTCTGATTCGAGAAGAGCAGACGACGGCAAACCGCTTCGCCTCCAGCCTCGGATTATTCGGTATCCGCGCGCGGGGTCGCCCGTTTATCTTCGTCCTGATAAACCATGGTCGGTTGTTCAGTCGTTGGCTGCTCGAACTCGAGCGTGAAAGGCAAATGCATGCATCGATTCCCATGAAACGGAGAAAGCAAAATGAGGTGGGCCGCGGCTGTGAAAAGAGCCACAGTGACAAGTAGACTTTGGGTACTGAACGTTTAAGTCAGAGTGTGCGAAGACCATTTTATCACAAGTACGTATGTATTACGCACTAATAAATATCTTATGCACGGAATTGCTGCGATGTTATATGGAGAAATAAACTGTCGCACAGGCGCACCTAGCGAAAGTATTATGGAAACGCGTGGCCGAAATCTACCTGCCATACGAGATAAGCGCCGGTAATTGCACCCATATAATATATGACAAAAAACGCGAAAGGTTCACTCAAGAGTAAGTTTACACGAAGTGCTGGACGAGTTCATTTGCATTTATCTTGGTTAAACTGTGCGCCAGGACGGCACACAAAGTAAGAACTGCGTTAAACAAGCGCAGGGTTTCGATTATTGAGCGCCGTCTATGTCTAACTGTATTGTTTATGTGCCGCCGTGCCTCGCAGCTTGATCAAGATTAGCGTTCCAATAAGCATCTGGCTTTGACTAAGAAATAGGTGGTCGAAGTTTCCGGAACCTTCCACTACGTCGTCTCTCATAATCATATGGTGGTATGGTACGTTAAACCCCACGTGTCAATCGATCAATCTATCGACTAAGAAATGCATGTTATAGTGCGCTGAAGGCTAGAAAAAAAAAAAAAGATTATCTCAACGCACTCAATAAGTGCTGCGCTTCATGCCGACAGACCGACGATGTCGGCCGAAGCAGCGATCCCGAAATGAACTCTTAGCACACTGCTACAGTCATCCCCATCTCCTGATGTCTTTAAAATGGTGATTTTTATCTGAAGCAACATATCATACAATGAAAACTGTCTTCTGTATCAAGCGATCTGCTAGCGAAACTGACAGTATACCCTAAGCTGCATAAGAGCATTGCAGATCATTTTAGTGCGGTAAAAAAGTTTTCTTATTGTTCATAGCTTTCGTAGCTTGCCATCGTTGCAGTCACGATTAGCAGAAACAAAAAAAACCAACTTCTAAAGCGCTGACATTGCAGAGAAAGATGCTTTTTTCAACGGAGCGGTACAAAAATGCACGCGTGCCGCTGCTAACCCGCATGGTGCGTCGAACCGGAAGTCGTCGTATCCCACAGTTCCTTGCGATTGCCATATTACCGGTCACCTATTGGAAGGAATTTCGTGGGGTTTATGCTGTGGCCGACAGCGATGAAGAATTATGCCTGAGGCTTTAGTAATGAGTTGGTACATTCGAAGACCCACTCGTTATGCAATCGCCATTGTGTGACACCTGGTTGTTCCATTGCTGTTCAAAAAACTTTATTAGACAACATGAAGAATTATGCCTGAGGCTTTAGTAATGAGTTGGTACATTTGAAGACCCACTCGTTATGCAATCGCCATTGTGTGACACCTGGTTGTTCCATTGCTGTTCTAAAAAACTTTATTAGACAACGATGAAGAATTATGCCTAAGGCTTTAGTAATGAGTTGGTACATTCGAAGACCCACTCGTTATGCAATCGCCATTGTGTGACACCTGGTTGTTCCTTTGCTGTTCTAAAAAAACTTTATTAGTCGCTAACACGATTCCCTTCCCGACATGAAGCACATTTAGTGTCAATTTGTAGCGGAGTTCTAGCACCAGTGTGGCTTAGTGGTAGAATTGTGTACTTGCACTGAGGGGACCTGGGTTCGAATCCCATTGTGTACAGTGTTTTTCATTTACTTATATTTTCTCTTATTTCGCATGATAGTGGTTATGGACACCAGCAATGGCAGCAGACAACTAGGGTACCAAAAAAGACCCCTGTTGTGATCTCATAACAGCTTTCGCCGCACAAGTGCATTTGACTGGTTGTGCCGTCTTGAATGTGTAAGTTTTAATCGCCATAAGCAGAAAAAAATAAGGATTACCTCGTTTACTTAGGCCTTAAATAATGCGTTTTCAAATGTAGGATTTTTTGCGAGCCAGAGCGATAATTTGCTAGACTCATTGCAGAATAGTCTGAAAAATGGGCAAGATCAGAGACGAGGACGGGGCACAAGCGGGACAGGTGCATAGTCTGTATAGCCTATGTCCCTGTCTATCTGTTGCGCTATTCTACATTGCAATCGCACCAACCAACTCGGCTTTCCACACTGCTGCGATACACTCGAGCTTGATGCATGGCTGGTACAGTCGAAACCCTTTATAACACACTAATTTAAAAAACAATTGGATATAAGAGACATCACTGTGCCTAAAGTAAAAGAGGGGGTTGATAAAAAATGCATACATGGTACCTTGCTTGTAAGAGACACTTTATATAAAATACAAAAACTGCTCGCCGGTGCAGCTATCTTATAATGGGGTTCAACTGTACTAATACATCAGTTTTACATGATCTTAGCATCATTTATCTTAAACTATTTTCTTGTATAGTATAAGCCACTTTGGGTCAGGATATGTCAAAACTTTATAATTGTGAGCCCCTGGCTCCTTTAGAACGAAATTTTATTCTCCTTAACCAGTAATTAATTAAGCACTAGGAAGTGCTGTCAAAATTCTTGATGTTACGATTCTCTATTCTAAAAAAAAGTTGGCTTATCACCGGTCATGCTTTGCTTACTGCATCTTTTCCAGCTTACCGAACTCGTCCCATTGTGGGAAATGGCACCATTTCGCTGTTGACTTGACTCTGTCTACTAACACAGCTTAATTAATAATTATGTTTAATGTTTTATTAACCAACAAATCACCAAGCAGCACCTGATGTGCCGGTCAGAACTTAGTTTGAGTGTAATTGTGGCTTGGCTATTCTGGTGTATGGGAGTTCAGGTCACAACATACTTTTTGGGGTGGTGGAAACGAACACATTTCATTTGACAACCTCGCAGAACAGCTTTTGGTCAAGATTACGTCGCGGTTCTGTATGTGCTGTGTAAATGTCAAACACATTCTGAACAGATCATCTTGTTGATGAACAGCTTTTCGGGCAGCTTTTATTGTTCCCGAATTATTGTGTTTTCAACACTGAATGGCACACATTCCAGAGTTCGACAAGAGTTCATGAACGCTTTACTCGACCTGCTTTGGAGGCTTCATAGTGAATATTTCTCCATACCAAAACGCGAGAAGAATACCTTTGAGACGTTGTTCAGTCTAATATTTTATGCCTGGTATTCAAAGTTATGTAATACGTATCAGATTTTCTCGCACACCATTTCGCTGTTGTCTTGTACTTGTCTTGTTCAATTCATGTTGAATGCAAATGCTAGACAGTTCATCATAATGATTCCTTTGCACATAGACTTTCGTCTCGCAGCTTTTTCCACACTGTTCATATGCATGAAACACTTTTTAGTAGCGACCATTGATGGAGGAAAAGTAACGCATTTCTCTCTACGTAAACTCTACGAGCATACAAAATTTGCTTAAACATTTTTCAGTCTCTATCTCTCTCCGCTTTCGGCCACTCACACTGAAGTACTCCAAAGCAGTCTGTGTCGTCCGCTGCGCGACAGCCTACACAGCGCCTCGTGAAAGCTCTTGAGTCCGATGGAGTACACAAAGGGGTTCGCGACGGACGCCAGGAACTGCACCACAGTCGAGAGCATGTCCAGCCAGTCTGGAATGGCCTTGGGCCCGATTAGCACCTTGACGAGCTTCGTGCAGCAAAAGGGCGTGATGCAGACGAAGAAGATGACAATCACTGCCAAGATGCTGACGAGGATCTTTTGGTTGCCCTGGCCCGTTCGACGTCGAAACGACGACTGACGAGACAGTGTTCCGTTCGAGACTTCACCTTTGCGCACCACTACTGGCGCATTCACGACAGAGTTGGAGCGCAATCGACGCACTGAGGCGAGGATGCGCGCATACTGCACGAGCACTATGGCCGCTGGCACGGCGAAGCAAAGGGAAAAGGTGACCGCGTAGTAGATGACATGCTCACGTCGCGGATGCCAGTCGACGTCGCAGACAATATTGTCAAACTGGTATGCGGTCCAATCCAAAATGGCGGGCACAACGGCAAAGATTATGCCGAGCGTCCAGGGTAGCGCCACCATCTGTACTAGGCGGCGCCACGTGCAGTGCTGGACGTACTGGAGCGGCTTGTGGATGGCCACGCCGCGGTCGAGGGCGATCATAGCGAGCGTCACGCTTGACGTCGACGTCAACCAGTAGTTAAGGATGCCGTGGAAGGTGCAGAAGCCCGGGTTGTCTAGCGGCCAGCCATCATTGGTCAGGGCGCAGACCGACGGCACCTGCAACAGTAGATTCTTGGGCTGTATTCATTCTTCCCCCTAGTGTTATAGTAAAGAGACTTCTCTTCATCTTAGAGGCTATATTCTGGCAACACCCCAAGTCTTGGTAGTCTTGGCCTCTTCGAAACAGCAGGAGGCTCACAAGAAAATGAAAATGTGGGCTGCACGGCCAAAGCTGCTTCACTGCAGGGCCAAGGCACTGTTTTCTATTGCAAAGGACCTATCGACAAGCTCGGCGGTGTATAATGTTCCCCGTGGGCAAGATTTCATCACCAGTATGGCTCAGGCTGCCCGCAAGTAGCCAGAAGCGGAAAATTAAGAGCCCCACTGCACAAACGAGGAGGATTGGACAGGCGTAGGGAAAGAGACATGGGAATTTTGTTTTGAAATTAAGGGCCTGTCAAGCGTGCAGCCCTGTAATATTTGCAAAATGTGATCACTGCGGTTTACTGTATGAATTGGTGAGCTTATTTGGGGGGTGTAAAAAGTAAAAGCATGAGTCTGTTTACTCTCCCTTTAATATCTGTATGACGTTGTTTTGAAGAGTTCAAAAGTTTGAACTCCAAGAGCTTCCGTTATTTACTTGCTGAAAGTACGCATTTCTTTACACATATCGCTCTGTGCCAAACAGGAAGATAGCCAGAAATTTTTTGTGGGAGTGTTCCCTTTATGTATGTTCATGTGTATATTTGTACGTACGCATCTTATGTACACATGCAAAATTGAAGAATTTTGGGGCGTTTTAACCGTTATATTCTCTTGTTATGCCAGTGCTGCCAAGTGTACATTCAGTTCATTGAACTTAGTCTGGGAAATGGCAACATAATTATTTACAGGTGCCAGCCTCTGTGGCATCTAGGTATCATTTCATCGTGAGGCTACTTTATAAGTTTACCACACAAGAAATGATTTCCTCACACCGTGTTTTACTCCCTGCTGTTTACCTTACACATTGAGGAGCTCTCTAACACTGCAGCACAAGTGTCGTAGCATGCACTTAGTTTCCCAAATGCGTTATGAATTGCTCATTCATGGAGCGCCACATGCAGCCGTTGTGTGGTGGGAGACCGGGGTATGGTAATTGTCCACTCAAGCGCGACCTTGTTGCGTTTGCCAACTCCACCTCGCTCGCCTGATGTTGTGAGCCCGACACAGTCGAGCAGTTGTGTAATGTGTGCGCTGCCCTGCCTGCAGAGTGTTGGTTATGCAGTAACGTTCAGTCATATGCCAAGCCATGCAGATCAGCGTGCTTGGGACGCAGTCATTGACAAAGCCTGCGCACGTGTAGAGATCTCGTGGAGGGTAGTGTGGGTGATGGCAGGGTTTAATGTGTGCTTTGTATGTGGTACAAAAATAACATGCACGTAACTATGGTATTATGCGTATTATGCAGCATGTAAGGGCAGTTGATGACAGAAAAGAAAACAGTTCTGTAATCTGAAAAATAACTGCAACAAATGAGCTCTACTTTCTAGTTTGTCACAACTTGATGGGCTTGCAGACATTAAGGCCAGGGATATCATTGGAAATCGTTAACCGTGATGCTTAATCAGTATGCATTAGTAATAGGAAAAAGTCAGTTACTGTGAGCATAAGGACAAATGCCCACTGATGGGAGCTGAATTCACGTATCCTGAATTATAGAAGGAGTGATCTACAGCTGAGCTATTGTGGTAGTCTCCTGCTTTCTTAGCTGTCTTGGTCCGAGTCTTTGGACCATTAATCAATAACCAGTCAAAGCTCATGGTGGCAAATGTTGGAAACGACACATACTCAAAAGTTGCTGTGATATGACTGAACAAAAGAAAAAGTTAGTTTTTCCTGTTTAAAGTGCATATAAGAAGCTGTTGTGCAAGTAGGAATATGCTGTGCATGTAAAAAGATAGCTATAACTTGTTGAAGTGGACTTTGTTTCGAACAAAGACACGCCATTGGCCGTAACAAGTTTTCATTCGCTTGCCATGAGGAAAGTAATTGCACCATGCCACTTAATTGGCATAGTAAGTTTTCATTCGTTCACCATGACAGGAGCAATCACAGCACATCATTGTCCATAAAACCTGTTGTTTGCTCACCGTGACAAGTGATCATAATGTGCTATTGGCTGTAAAAAGTCCTCGTGTGCTCACCATGACAAGAATAATGGTATGTCAGTGGCCGTAACGAATTCTTGTTTGCTTACCATGACAACAGCGATCGGAATGCTCTGTTTTCTGTAGTAAGCTTCTGTTTCTCGCTGTAACAAAAATGATCAGAACGTGCCATTGGCCATTGCAATTTTTCGTTTGCTCGCCATGCCAAGAGCGAATCGCAACAGGTCATTGGCCGTAGCATAGACCTTGTTAGCTGACCCATGACAAGTGGGATCACAATGTACCACTGGCTGCTACATTCATTCTCGTTGAGGAGAGCAACCAGAGCGTGCCACGTGCCGTAGCAAGTCTTCGTTTGCTCACCATGACAAGAGTGGCTGTCAGGAGGTCGGTGACCGCGAGGCTGACAACGAGAAGGTTGGAGCGATGCTGCTTCACATGCTCGTCCCAGAGCGAGACGAAGAGCACCAGCAGGTTCCCAAGCACGGAGATGCACAGCTCGGCAGAGACCAGGACGGCAGCCACGGCGCGCTCCGTGTCGCTGGCCCTTCTCACCACCGTGCTGTTCATCGGTGGAGGCCTCGCCAATGTCAGGTTCTGCAAGAGGATCAGTTTGTGCACATTTTCGTCTGGCAGCATACGCAGTCAATGTCGTACGTAGCTTGAGTGAACAAACTCTGTGGGAACTGTCACGGTATTGCAAGTCTGCCTTCACTTTGAAATAAGCATGAAGCCAAGTGGGTTTCTTAGGAAACCAAAAAGAAAGCCAGGTAGGTTGCGTTTGAAAATGGCTTTGCAGAAAAAATAAAAAACTTAACTCTAATGCGAGTAAATGAGATGACACAAGTGTTTGTGTTATCTCACCTACTCCATCCCTATCAAAGTGTGTGCTATTCTTATTACACCTAGTCAACAGCGTAGCGAAGGAAGGCTTTCTTTATTTGTGAAAGCGTTTGTCTGGATGCTGAATCAGGGGATGTACCTGGACAGTGAATTTAGTACGATAAGCCTTTTCTCGAGCATGGGCTAAGCCTGGTTGAAAAGAGCACAATAATAGTGCATTGTCATGTTTGTTGAATATGTCCCTAATACTGCGGATGTTGCCCACATGTGTGTCGACCGGTCTGAAAACATGCAAGCATAAACGACCCTTGATGTTTTCGCAATTCCACTTCGAAAAGCCGTTGATGACGACTAAGGATGCTGCGTTTTCACATTAAGAGGCTAGCCAGATTTTTTGAAAAATGTTCAACTTTTGCAATTGTGTAGAATATGTTGTGTAGGGTATATTTATAGCACTGGATTATGATTAACATGACTGGAGCACCTACGATGGCAGTGCTTGCGCTGGGAAAAAAACAACTGCGTAAGCACTAGCCCGAGTAGCTGTGATTTGCAAGATAGTTCAATCTCGCTATTCTAAGCTTGCAAACGGCGTTTGCGTCGGATTTTAAAATGAACCACAAGAGGCCAAATCTTTTCCAGGCCAGAATCGAGAAATTAAATGAAAAAGGGCCTTTTGAAAACAGCACATTTTCAGAGAGGTCTTTCAAGCATTGTAACATGAAGTTAACAAGAAAAAACAAAAGTGGCTTTGTACATACATTAAAAGTTACTATATTATTTTACCTGTAGAGAATATTTCTTGTGTGCATCAACATCATTGAGGTGTGGCTCGGAAATGGTGCGTAAGCCAAAAAATGTTGCTCTTGCTGTTTTAGCTCGTACTTTATTTGAGCATTCAAACGTGCGCAGTTTCAAAAGCAAAATGTGGAGCTTTGGCACAAGCTGTCCCCTTTTAGCAAAAAACAGCTTTCTATTCCTTTGAGGAATCCGAGAGGCTAGTTGCAAAGGGTCCCCCCATAGCTCCCACTTATCTCGCCATTGCAGTGGTCCCGCTACCGTGTACATTTCTTATCCGCACTAATTGTGTTTACGACACTAAGCGATGGTCTTCTTGCGGATGGGCATAGCAGGCTTGGTGGATGACGGGGCAATGCAATCCACCGCAGAACGAGTGTACTCGACGAGCAAAATAAAGAGAACGGATAGGTGCACTTACTCGGAACCTAAAAGCGACGCCACGAGGTTCCACATTTTTTGGCCGTCACCCCAGTCGTCAGCGGCACTGCACTCGCACTCGCACTGAGCCATGGTCACGGCTACGCTCGTTTCGGCGTCGAAATCGGCGGAAGCGGCTGCATCGTAACCACGGGGGGCACCGCGGCGTTTCCTCCCGCCACCGTGGCTCTCAGCCTCGGGCGCACGCATGGCTGCCAGGCGCGAAGCCGTTGCGAGATAAGCCTGCTCGCGCTTCACGCATCAGCGGCTGCTGCGGTTACTGAGCTGCGCACGAAGGTGACGAGTGGTGCAAGTTGAGGGGGGGAGAGGGTTGCTAAGCGGAGGCAAGTGATGAGGCGTGTCGCTAATTACACCCCTCCTTCTCCCTTCCTCCTCCCCCACATATGCCTCACTTATTGCACCTTGTGGCCCTTGTTGTTGTGGGTAGCTTCCATCTCCCCAACCTATTTTTCTTTACCCTTTCCTTCATCATAGGCTCGCAAGATTCGGTCCTCGCCCCTCAGTTCTCTCCGGTTGACTTAATTTTATCAGTGGTGTCCGCTATTCCACGGCTGACTCGAGCGAGCGGGCGTCAAATTGAGGTTGTTGTCACACAAGCGTGATCTCTCTTCCCCCCCCCCCCCCCCCCCACCTCCGTGTCTCATGTTGCAGGAAAGAGAACTGAGGCGTCACTTGGGGCTGGGTGGGGGAGGGCTTCTCGAAATCGTGAATCGGTTCTTCTCGATCTCGAGAGGGACCTGTTCGTTAAGTTCTGGGCCGGCGACTGTTTTTAAGCTACCCTCTTAACGTGTCAAATTGCCAACATAGAATGACAAAAAAAGAGGGCAATAAAAAGATGCACGGGACAATACTTGTCCCGTGTTTGCAAACAAAGTTTTGTGGAGTAAGGCATTAATTGCCGAAACTCTCTGTAAAAATGGATGCTTGATTTTTCATTCAAGGCAGAGCTGTCAGTGACCCTTTAGAAACTATTCACTGCAGAGAAATTTAGAAAGTGCCTTAGACATATATTCAGTATAAAGAGAACTAAAGATAACGCTATTGAGATCGTGATAACCACAAATAAACTCTGCCTTTTTGACTTGCCTAACTTTCAATTTGTTGCATCATATTTTAAGGAGCGATCAATGAAATTTGGTATTCAACTCTTCTCTTTTGTTAAGCTCACTTTGTTGCAGTGTATACACTTGATGTATTAGCTAATGGTGGCACTGGTCAATGTTCAAATGAAAGTAGAATGCGAGATCTACATGATAGGGCTTGTAGCCTAGAGAAGCACTTGTACATATTCCGCATCATGTAGTTGCGATGGGAAGTAACACTCATATGCAATGACAGCAGCAGTCACAATTGGCAGCTGTCATAAAATTGATGGTGGACAGAACAGGTTTACTTTTATACATGTGTGATAGAAAGTTCTAGCATTAATTTTGCTGCTCGCGCTAGCTCCAGAAGAAACTCAGCTACTCGCGTAGTGTGCACCATCTTATCAGAACAGTCTAAAACTGTCTCTGAGTTTCTCAAACATTGGAGGCCTGCGCCAAATAAAAATGCAGAAAACGGGTTTTCTTGTTGGCGAAGCCCAGAAATAAAGTAAGCACAGCATGCCGATACACACTAACTGATCTTGCTGAGGCTGTCTGCAAAGATACTTATGCCATCATTAATTGGGCAAGCTATCTCTGAGGAAAGCTGTCTGTTTTTGCAATTATCGAAAAAAATTTGTCATGGAGAGATTGCATTAAAGGTGTTTGTCATGTCATAAATTGGTATATGAAAGATTCTTGTTTTTGTGATTGAATCGGGACAGTTTAAAGCCATTCATTTTAGTATATGCTGTAGATATGACAGGTATTCTTGGCCTCCCTGCAACCTTTGTAGTCTCAACCTCACCCCTTTGTCAACACATTGCCATGCTCAATGCCTGAAGCGCGTGCACTCTCTGAAGGTTCAAACCTTGATTGTGTAGACAAGTGCAGTAAATTGTCTGATCTTTCCTATAACTATAGCTCTTACGAACGAAATCTTATAAGCACATATTCACAAACAAACCTTATATTTATCTTGCTCTTTCATTATCAAATTTGTGCTTTTTATAAACAAATCAGGCCTGTATTCACAAAGTAATCTTATAGTTATCTTCTACTATACTGTTTTCATTTGTGCACCCTTATAAGGCTCGTAGAGTACAGAAACTCGAGGAAAACAGGATAAGGATAAGGTTGGTTTGTGAATGCGGGCATTAACAGTCCAAACTGGAACTGACATGCTTACATGCGGTTTTTCCCGCTCAGCAATCGAACATCACAATGCTTTACCAGGAGCTGTTTGTGAATTGCAGTATTGTGGCTTTTTGTCTGCAGTTGGCTACATGCATGTATGATCCACACTTCTGCAATAGCCTCAATGGGTCTGCTTTGTGTGAAAATAAATAAATAAATACGGTGCATTTCTATGTTTTCACACAGATCATGACCCTACTGAACCGCACCAACTCTGACTGGTGGAACGTTCGCCAGATGAATGGTGAGGAGGGCTTTGTGCCGGCGAACTATGTCCGAGAGGTGGAACCACGGATCATCCAAAAGACGACTAAGAAGCCCGTCAAGGTGGCCGAGCGCCACCGCGTCAAGAAGGTTGTCATGAAGCAGCAGCCCGTCAAGGTCAAGAAGGAGAAGCAATTGTCCCCACGTAAGTCCAAAATGACCTTTTAACTTCTGTTTCTTTGCCATTGTACTTGGCGTGTATTCTGTAAGAAATCAACATGTTAGTGTCAACGTCTGCGGCAGCACTGTGATCGGCACCGGTGCGGAAGGTTGCATGAACGTTTTTTCATTGTTCATCGTCTCACTTCTGGAGCTTTTAGCGGTAGTGTATGTTTCACAGTGTGAGCTGTGCTAGGTATGAGCTCAGAGTGGCCAAGTCCTTATGGCGTAGTTGTCTACTGCTGTTGGTGTTCATCGCAGTTGTTGAGCACATTGAGAAAGAAGCCAGGGTTTGAGGCATATTCAAATGCAGGCTTTCTGCATGGCATGCAAGTGCTCTATCACAGAACAAAGCAGTGCCAGCGCTTGAATATTTTCGTAAAAAGACCCTATACAAGCATCGTGTATGGTGAGGAAACGCATTGACAAGTCTGATATTGCACGGGGAAAGAGAGGAAGTGCACCAGGCATCACACGATGTAGATTGTGTAACAAGTGAGTGGTTTAAAGTTTTTCGACCATTACAAAGGGATTTGCCAAACTCTTCATCATCTTCATTATCGTCCACTAGAGCAACAACAATGTGTGCAGCTACGCAGGTGCTCATGTTGCTTTAGGAACATGTAGTGGGTGCGTAGCTACTTTGTAAAATGGTGTGATTTATTGTACACTGGGTGGTACCTCGTGACTTTACTATCAGTATCAAATGAAGTGGGAGCAGCGGCAAGCATTGAAAATAGGATAGTCCGCACTGTCTGGTCATCACCATTGACAGGTGCGCATCATTACAAACAGCACTGCGCAGGTCTACGATGATGACTGGACGATGTGCACTACACCAGTGCGAATGCTTGCCGCAGTTCGCACTTTGTTTGATGCCGACAGTATTTGCTTTAGGTGCCCTAAGGAAGTTTACAACGGCTTCTATGAAGGGCGCTCCTCTAGCTGTCACTGTGCCGCACATTCTGCATAGGCCTGACATTTCTTTTTTCATGTGTAAATGTGCTTCCTTTAACAGCATACTGTTTTTACTTCAATTCTGGTTTCCCTGTTTGATAACTTAGCAGTGAAAGTAGTCCCAAGCTACAAAAAGAGGTGTAAAAGGGTGCGCCATTTAGATTTCTGCATTCTGACACCAGTAATTTGTAAACCTGTTATCACCGCTACAAATAACGCAGTGCTCATCATTGCTTTCAGTCTTTTTTATTTCCAAGCATTTGCTTCTTCCCTTTTCCTTTGCATGTATGATACGTATGAGCTAACTTGTTGTCTTAATATAATTTAGACTAATATAATCTAGACAATGTAACCCTGTTTTTACGAAGTCTGGGTGAAGTCAAGATTATCTACATTTATGCAACCTTTATTACACGCATATATTTGTTACTAATTGAGATTTGTGAGGAAGCATGACATTTACTTCTTTATTTGAATATTTCGTTATATGTGCTTTCATGGAGCTAATGTTGAACTGTGCCTGATTACGCATGCAAGCTGCATTTTAAGTATAAGTATCTTAATGGCATGCTGACAGCGACTGACTAGGTTTTATCCTGAGAAAAAGGAAGTCGCGACTCGGCTTGTTACTGTGGTGCACATTTCAGAGAAATCACCTAAGCAGAATGGCAGCAGTCCGAAGGACGGCAAGGGAGTCCAGCAACGCCAGGAATCCATCGAAGCCGCCTACCAGAACCTGTTGTCTGTGTCAAAGGTATGATCCGCTCTGTAGTTACGTAGGTTTACCTCGGTTGTTACCATTTTAGTGGCATTGTATTATACGTCAAGCTAACGCTTACAGCATAAACGTGTACAAGGATGTCGTTCCCTCTCACGTATTTTGATATACTTCAAGTGCGTTCACACTACTTTAAAGAACTTCAAACCCTATTTTATTTCTGCATCATTGAGTCACTGTAGTAGTGTACTAATAGCCATAGGAGTCATAAACTAGTATGCTAAGAGTGCTTGCTGAGTGCTTGCAACCTCGTATCATAATGAGTTACAGGGCATCAAGTACTAAGTGCCATGTGCAGAATATCTGAGTAAGTCTGCTTGAAATCATTGTAAGTTCAGGGACTGTCCAGAGTCACCAGTGTTAGGTTGTGTAGCTGATTGTGGGTGCTGTCTTATCTAAGAAGAAATTCTCAAACAGGCAACTTTCAAATGATCAAATCAGGATTCAGGAACACAGCTGGAACTTCATGCATCTGTGAATTTACTTAGGACCAACTAAACTCATCACTTGAGCCAAATATGAACCTGCTTGCTTTCTTGGTTTGGCTTCGCATAACCATTAATTTGGCTAAAGAAGACTGCAGAAACCAGAATTGAGTTGATCAAAGCCACAAGTGACAGCCAGTAATTTATTTAGACATGAGGTTAAGAATCTCACCTGCCCTGTGCTTGTCAGTGAGATATGATTTTATGAAAGTGCTTGTGTGTTACTCATAAAAACTTTAATAATCATTCGTCACTTGACCGTTGCCTTTCACGACACGAAAGCATCAAACGTGTAGCTCACTCACCTATTTCATCTTCTGAATATCCGGTTTTGTTATCTGTAACA